GAGTCAGTTACAATTTCGTTGTTTAACTCTTGTGTAGTGCACTTTTCCTATTTCTGATCACTATTGAGTTGCATTAATGCAAAATTGACGGGCGCTTATTTAGTACCTTCAGTATATTTTTAAAATTAATATGCAATACTATCGAAAACAATTTTCTGTCATGCCAGTGGGTGAAAGACTTGCTGATCATACATATATGTTGAAAGACATTGCCGATAAAGACGAGGGAGACTTGAATGGCCATTTCTGATTTATTAGCTGTCACCGGCCAAGCATACCCAACCTAGCTTGGTGTACCATCTTAGGCCCTAACTAGTAACCTGTCGGTTAGAAGTCCCACTGCACGACGAGCTTGTCGGTTTCGATCGGAAATATTAACAACTGTAGATGAGCGCTTCCCAGTCGGTTACGCAACTCAATCGTCTCGCACATATATTCGTGTAATTACAATGCTGAAGGGCGCCGCGTCGGATTGCGCGGTCGGATTACTGGATATGGCCAGCATACGGTGAATGGTGAAGTGCGTGACTATGTAAACAGACTTCCCTGTCAAGTGTCATCGGTATCAATTTTGAGTGTTTGTTTTAAATTCACCTGCAGTCGACCCGACTGCTATTTCTTCTCAAGTTTCCTGCTAATAAGACTAGCCGTAGCAGGTGGTTGTCCGAAATTATTCGGACATATTTTTAGACAGATTTTTGGCTAACACACAGCCCGCTCAGGGTCCTACCATACCCCTAGCACAAAATGTGACCTTTAGGTTAGCACTGTGCTAGTGGCAAGTCAGTTACGTTTAAGTCATCTTTGCCAAGATGAAGTATATAATAAAAACACAATTCCTAATTTTACTGAACAAGGTTGGTGTTTTGGAACGTTCACTGGCTCGGTTGCTCGACCTAGAACTTAACGGGATCTTGCGTATTCTTTCAGGGCCAAGGTCTCTGATAATTTTACGCTTCCATGGTACTACATCAGTTACTTCCTGCTGACAGCAAAGAAATTCATTTATATAAATGATCTTAAACGTCCTCACATCTGCGTTATATATTCTCCGATACCTATTTCATTCGCTTTTATTTCGTTAGCCAACTCAGTTCCTGTCAGTGTGATCGTGCACACCTGTCTTCCTTACATTAGTTTAGGTTTTTTCATGTTTTTCCCACTCCGACTTTGTAGGTCCGATTCCAAATTCAAAAGTAGTTGTGGTTGGCCTGCTTTTTCACGTGCTGCTGGCGCATCTGGAGCGGACGATACCAAGACAAACATTGACCGTCACGAAGATTTGACCATGGGCTTACAGCGAACTGAAGTTACTTGCAAGTCGGTATGTTCGACTGCCTAAAAGACCTTGCCTATTTTCAGGCTGTTTTGTAGATATTTGTGCTGTCAAGTTTGTAGAACTAGCCCTGCATTAGGAATCTGCTAATTTCCATCTATACTCCTTTTCTATCAGCGGTCCAGAATTGTAACGACTAAATGAGCCATTGGTTTATCTACATAGGCAAATTTGGTCAACATACATTTGGTGCCAGTATTTTATGAATATATTTGAAATAGGCAGCTTATTTAGTGGACGGTAGTGCTTAAAACTGCCCAGCTCTATTTACGATCCATTATGTCCAAAATGTGCAACCCTTATTGATCCAATTTGTTCTATAATTCCCTTAGTGCTTTCTGCAACGGCCAAATACGCTTCCTTTATTCCCTTTTTTGCACCAACTTCCCTTGTTTCGTTGCTATGTAACCGCTTTTGGAGGCTGGTATTAATTCTTGGGTACATGACTGATTCTTTTTAATAATATTTGTCTAGTGTGGGGCCCACCTTGGCCACGTTTTCGACGACGGACCGAAACCCACTGGTATAAGATATTGCATCAACAGCGCAGCTCTGAATTTCGTCCCAAAAGACTCGTAACTGCTGTCTCCGCGCCGATTGACAATATCTATGCAGCCTTCATTATTTATCTGTCATTTGCTATCCTACACTTTTTTGAAAATATATTTACATCTAAATGTTGGGTTTCTTGAGGTATGTGCCAGTTTTTGTCAAAACGGGATGTAATTTATGCTTTTTTCGTCATTCTTACCTGATCCGTCCCTGCCTGGAAAATCATTTAGCGGCTTACATTTCGTCGACTCTATATTTCGACTGCGACATCGTAGTGTTCCATTGTCCCGTTTTCGAAGAGTTGATATGCCATCGGATTTGAATTGTAGGGCGACCCTGATATAACCAATTTAAAGTTGATGTTCGAATTTTTATCAAAGGTTATATTGATGGTCGTGTTTCGGGTAGTATTCCTCAGCCTGTTGATCGTTTTTTATAGTATCGTCCCCCAAAATGTCTGTATATGTACTTTCAGTGATTCTTTGCGAGATTACTTAGTTACAAGATTTAACAATCAGAGCTCAAAGGGCCGACTGCCCCTTCTTCTAAAATACACAAAGATTCTCCTACCTCTGCCGGAGGCTAAAACGTTACCATTGACAAACACCCGACATGTTCGATTGGTCTTCCTGTAGCGAGCCCTGCTTTTGAACACGTCTTATCTATGCGGACGTGAAGGTACTGCTAGCGCTATTTGGTTGAGTAAAACGTGCTTACATATATCTTCGAAAACTGATTCGTCTTCCGCACCAGTGGCTGTCTTGAGTTCCACTCTGTGGAATTATTCTTCAGTGTTCAGCATCCCCACTCCCAATGTTAGTCTATTCTTATCGTTTAAGTACCACGCCACGATGGTTTGATTGAGTTCTAAGGCAACTCGTGTTCAGCATGACAGTCGGACCAACCGGGCAAGACTAAGTTCGAGACTTTTGCATTGCGTCGCCTGACTGGAAAGTTGGAGTTCACAAACAAAACTGATAAGTTTTCCAGTATCTGGGCTGCAGACTAAAGACGACAATTTTACCAACATAAGACCAGGATAACCAATTGAAATGACCGGTTCTAACCCGTTTTCTTTCATCAATCGATAGCAGATACCGTTCAAGTATGCGTCCCCCTGCAGTGGGACCATACCTTTGAGGTATAAGTTTCTAGGAGAGAAATAAGACAGCATTAGCCACAGCCGCAGTTAGAGCGAGGGTACGGTGTTGAGGATGGTCAACCTTCCAAAAGTTTCAGAATGCAGTTTTG